TGCTTACAATGTTGCATAACATTTTGATAATATAATTGCCTAACTATTTGATAATTTAATTAAAAAACATTTTAACTTTAAACCATTCTCATGAATTGAATACAAATTACATAAATCATTAGTATTAACTACAAACATTCTGAAAAATGTTTAAAATAAACTGTATTGGTTTGTCCTTCGGTTTTATAATATATTGTACTGTAATTAATGAATTATCTTGGCATAAAAAATAATGATATTTTTCTTACGCAACATCTACCGTAATCTTTATACATTCAAAAATACACTTTTGATAGAGTTTACCTGAGAATCTGAGATACCTAAAAATGGGAGGCTTTGATGGTCAAATTGTTTGTATAATATGGGAGAAACTGAAATTAAATGCAAATTTGCATTGATTAGCTGCTGGTTTTCTCCATTCCATTATGATTTTCTTGCAGAGGGTATTTTATGCATTTAACAGATTTTTTTATATATTGTAAATAGTTTTCATACCTAAATGAAGTAAAGTTATCAAGTGGCTCATGCAACAATGTAAAGGTGGGTAATAAATTACACTATGAACATTATAACTTATGTAGTTATGGCCATTTAATAAGCCATAACTATTCACAAACTTTAATAATCATTCTGACATTTCTGACACATATTTACGACTTAATAACATGTATCTGGGGTAACTAAAATTCTAGTTGCGATACCAATAACAAAAAAAGGTTTGTTAGGTTCAGGATTTAATTTTCCTTTTAAAACTGCTTTTGAATATAAAACAAAACTGCTCAATTCAGTTGTCTTTCAGTTCTCTATATCATCTGCTGGCAGTAGTAAATAGTAATGGACAAAACCTTGATGGCCTAAATAGCCTTAACATTTTTATATCACTATTTATTCCTTCTCTACTTTCATCTGTCGATTTTATATCCCTTTTCTCTTTAATTCAAAATTCTATTAAATATTTAGTGACCCCAATACACACACAATGCATATAGTCTAAGCAAACAACGTTAATTATATTAATATGTGACTTGAGTAAGTGGGAATCACCTTTGTGATATTCTTCATTTGATTGATTTCTAAAAGTTTCATTTGTTCTTAATGCAGCATTTGTTCTATTTTAAGCTACTGGGCATTGCATATAATCTCCTTCTTTAATACAAGAAGTACACCCAAAATAAGCATTAAAATATTTAACGTTAAGTAAAAAGTTCTTTACGGGGGCATCACAAACTACATTAGACATTTTAACACTTATTCATGTTCCATTTACATTCAAACCACTTCTTAATACTCTAAGGCATCAGCAATAAATAGGTTAAAAAATTCTTTGATCGAATGTGGTTTTTTAAATCCATGAAATATACCAATAAGAAGTACATTATTGGGTAATTCTTTAAAATTTAAAATCATTTTACTTTAAGAACATTTTACTCTAAACAGAAATTGTATTAAATTAATTGAATTATAACCAATTTAATATAGGATGTTAAAAAAAGAAGTCAAGTATATAACATAACAAGTGTATCTAATAAATTTATTTCAGCACAATATATCGATTTTTATTTGAAAAAGCATTAACTTTAACGATATTATTAATCTTTTAGGCCAAATCTTTTTCAAATATTTATAATAGAAAGGTCATTGAATCTATTTTCAACCATTGAAAATCGCATCCAAGTTTTTATTCAGCGCATTGCATAAAAAGAGCGTTCACAAGTGGCTGAACTTATTGGTAAAGTTAACGCCACCTCTAGAAGCTTAAAAATATTTGGGTAGGCATTCACAACAATACATGTTTTAAAATCCTCTAAGGAGATATCATCTTTTCCAGTTGTTAATGTTAAGTAGTTTTTTACAACATTAATTTCAGATTTTAAATTATAACAATCGATATCTAATAACTCCTAGAAAATAAAAAGGTATACATAAGTCATGTGTTACTACTTATTATTAATATTTAAATATAGTCAACTATTAAAATTGTGTGTAATGTAGAATTAGTAAGTGTGTTAATCAAATTAGCCAATTCATGTATGAAAATCAGGGTATTTTAGGAGATGTTACTATGTTGGTCAATTAGACAAAGTTAGAATAATGTATCAATTGACAGTTATATTAATTATAGTGTAGGTATACCTTATAGTGGTCCAGAATTCAATGTTTAGTTTAAAAAAGTTATCAATAGATTCAGCCATTTCCAAACTTTCTGTACAAAACCGTTTCTTCGTATTGACAATAATGGAATCTAAAATTTTAAAGTATTCATTTACACGAAATGAATCTTCAGCAGTAGCATTATCAACTTCATTGGGTTCTTCAGCACCAGAAGTAGTAATCAAAACAAAATCATTAAGTCTATTAGGTTCTCTTCTTATTCGTTTTAATCCTAAAATACAAAAATACTTATAATTTTTATTTTCTACAGTCTACACCTAACTATAAAATTATTATTTACTTTGTGTTTGAAATGATATATCAAAGTTAATGTTGTAGTCTTTAGCAAAGTCTTGGATTTCTAACCATAAATTATTAAAAGCAAGAGTAGATCTACCATTTTCAAAAGTTTGTAAAACACTCTTGATAAGAATTGCTGCATTGCCTAGTGTTGCATTTTTTTCTTGAAACATGTTCCAATGAATATTTATTGTAGAAAATATATTTTTTTAAATAAACAAATGAGCTTGTTGACATATTTGTAAGTATACCTTGAAAAAAACATTAAAATATTATAATCCAATTATTTTAAATGTTTTATACAATTTACCTAAAGCTTCATTTGCATTTCTATCAGTTTGATTATCTGTTTCTTCCTGTAAAACGTTAATAATAGCTTTATAATTGTGTAATATTGCTTCACAGTTCTTAAGCCGACAGTTCCATCTAGTATCACTTAAGCAACCAATATGAATACTTTTTATTCTCAACTGTTTTTGCATGTTAACAAGCATTTGGTTTTTAGTTAGATGAGAAAAATGGATATATAACCCTTCAATAGTATTAAAAACAGTCCTAGTCTCCTGAGTAGTCTCCTATACCAAAAAAGTATATTTATAGCTAAAACAACTAAACATACACTTACAACAAATTACAATTTACCTTAACATATTTGCACATATCAATTACTACAAGATTTATACGGTGGGTCATACAATGCGTATAAATGGCATATGGAAATTTATTTTTAATTTTAGCTTGAACACCATTGAACTTTCCAGACATTATATTAGCCCCATCGTAGGATTGTGCCACAACATGTTATTTTTAGTAAGATAAGCAAATATATGGGCACTTAGGTATTCAGCATCTTGTTTGTCAGAAACGTCAATAAATCCCAGAAATCGTTCTACGATATTAAGGCCAACAGTATACCTTACACATAAAGACATTTGTTCTTGCTTAAAACACCTAAAATAAAAATAAAAAAAATCATTTAGTAGGTGGCGAAAGAACTTCTCTCATTGGGTCTTGGATTATAATCAAAATAATTGTTAAACCTTTACTTAAATTGAATTTTGTATACTTGTAATTTAAACGTTAGATTCTTACCTAGCTTCATCACACATTATACCAAAAACTTTAGTGTCTTCAATTTCTTTTGTAATTTTATGTCTTATGTTCTCAGCACATAAATTAGCCAACTTATCTTGCACAGCATGACTAGTGTAATTGGTAGTATTTTGAAACTTTTCTGTAAATTCTAGATAGTGTTTTGAAATCAAACTGCAAATTTCTTTAAAATGTCCTGCAACAAGAATATATTATATCTATAGGTGGTGAAAAATGTGTCTAGTATTTTAAATGTTATAATAGTATGTACCTATTAGATAATCTTTTAGCAGTGAAAATATAATGTTATATCAACAAGAGTTTTAATATATTGGACATTTTTTTCTACAAGAAGCTTGTGGCTCGATGCTACTTGAGAGTGGACACTTCCTGTTATTATGGTTGAAGTATAAGCTTCCCATTTTGCCATGCAAGTTAAATGCCGTTTACTAGTCGAATGTCCATGCAGTTTACTCTGTTTATTTCCTTTTTTTCCTCTTGACCCAGATAACTAAATATAATAAATATTTTAAGTATGATAAAAATAATTAATACATAATTGAAAAAAATACTTGCTTTTTTCCAGTTGTTGAATCCAATACTCGTAAACGTAGAATCATTATTATCACTTGCTACGCTAAAATTGCGACAGCAAAAACAGCAAATAGCATTATACTATATTCTAGCCAATTAAAGCTAGAATAATAAACGGAATTAAAACCACGGTTTTGTTTCCCAAAAACAGTTTTTGAATACGACTATAATAGTAAAAACAAAATACATCAATTAAAGTTATAAATATACAATAAACTACAACATTTAAAAAAATTTGGTTTTATACTTACCTCAAGTACTGGACGAGCTGGACCAGTCAGTAAAGTTCCTAGATCACAAGTTTCAGGCACCAAATCGACACATTTTGTGGATTCAACTGTAGCTATACTTCCTAGACTACTTAAAGTGTCGTCTGGGTCCGTATCGTCTGTGACATTAGTACTAACCGAGGCCACAGAAGACAGTTTATTTACATTAAAGATCGCAAATAATTTCTATTCAATTAATAATAGTTTAACTTGTTAGCCGTTAACCAGTCAATAGTCAAATGACAAATAATCAATGCGAATAATGCGATATGCGGTATTGCGGTGAAAAACAAAAATACTAAAATTCGTCGATTATGGACTATCGATTTTGGTGATATTGTTTGTAAAAACCCAATTCATAATAAGTTAAAAATAGTATATTTTAAACCGGGACGGCGGGCGACTGCTGAATGCTGATAAACCATCAATGCGGGTGTTATACTGTTTTTACTTATTATTAATATTACATTAATTACGATCGTTCCAAGTTATGACAGTAGTCAGTAAGTTTGTAACCTTACTTAATTACCTTAATTATTATATATTTAGTCTAGTCTCATTAAAATTGTGAGGGCCAGGGGGGCTAAGACCTATACTTAAAACTTCTGTGGGGTGGGGGTAGTCCCCTCTACCCCCCCCCCACACACACACCGATTTCTACCTATGTTGATAGACCATTTGTATGAAATGTGTAAATTGAATTATAAATATTAAACTTCAATGTATTAAGTTAAGGGTGTACTCTTAAATTATAAAAATTTAAAAATTACTTGTTCATCTTGAGGTGGTTGATAACTTGAACTTGATTGAATGTATGGTAGTTGATACACTAAAGATGATTGCTTACTCATTTGATCCAATAATAATGATTGAAATGTTTCATTTGGTGTATTGTGCATTGTTTCAGTCAAGGTGTTTTTTCTCTGTACAGCCTTTTCAGGTTAGGTTAAAACGCGCGGTTCGTCGCGGAAGCAAGGAATGTCTCGTAGTAATATTATAATGTGTTTATCTTTTATGTAACCCCTAACCAATATTTAAAGAATTAAATGTAATATTATGTTGTCAGTAACAATATCTATCGCGATACGAGGGCAGACATTAGGCTGATACCCTCGAATGAAACAAAACGCTCGGGATACATCAGAAGAACATATTGTATGACATTCAACAATTCAGGCAATGGTCGGATCGGCAAGCTACCGAGGAAATCTCGGTGGGCCACTTAAAATATGGACCAGATATGAGTGTTAAGTGGTAACTTTTTCTTTTTATTATAATGACAAATGAGTACAAACATGAGTATAGAAATATATATAATTTAATGAAACTCAGTGGGCCGATACCATGACTATCCTGTTACACCGTCACCGACTCGACAAAGGACGAAAACGTAATACGACAGTAGTATACCACTAAAACATGGTATAAGGGAGGCGTGGACGGAAAAGGACGGATTACTTGTCATTGTATGAGAACGGCTTGCAAGAACACAGCGATACGGAACGCAAACAAACCTTAGACATACCACATATACAAGATGATAAAATGTATAAATTCGACAGTAACACTGAAAGCAGAATGTGCCACAACAAAATACGAATGCACATTGAAATTAAGATGACACTTACGGCTAAGGCGGACATGTAACAAAAACGGCCATAAACCGTCAGTGTAATTAATAAAATAATACGTGATGCTATACAAAAACGACTGTCGCGACATAGCGACATGGCTGGCATTTGGACGCACACTTGGTCAAGGCAGAAGACTGGACATGACATGTCAATATATTAATATTATGTAGATGTCGTTGATAATGACATCTTGGCCAGGTGCAACGGCCGGTTCGTTTTAGTTCAAATCCGCGATGACGGGTGTATCACCAGTTGAAGTCATATGCACTACTATGCCTGCGGTGAAATCACGACTTTCCCACTTCATTTTTGTCGGGCCTGCATATTTCAGCTCATTAAAAACTATTGATGCATCCAGTTCCGGATCTACGTAGTATATCATAATATTATAACTATTATTAAAGTTAAAATGTGCACCTTCGGGCCATGCTCTTGTAGCACTGTCGTCCGACATTTCTACCTCCATAATATTATGTACCTACATGGCTACAAATCGATACCCGATATTTGACAACATATAATGTATATATTATATATTACACATATTATGTGCATTGACCATTGATTAAGTTTTTATTTTGAACAGTCAACAAACGTGTTCTTATATATGATTTCATGAACAACAACAATGATTGTAGTTCTTTAGTTGTGAAAAAAAAGTTTCCAAAGTTTCCTCCCGAAAATATTCCATTAAAAAAATTCTTTCTGTTTTAATACCATTTAATGGCACGCTATACCTTCACCGACGGTACAGTCGGCGGCACGCAGTATAATCAAAAAAAAGGGCCAATACGACACGAGCCACGAGGTTTGTGGCCGAACCGAAAGGCAAAATAACGGGGCACGGCGACGCGGAGTCACGTCGTGCCAACGGTTTCAAAAG